TCGCAGTCTCCTTTCGTTGTATAGAAGTTGTTTGGCCTTGTTTTCGCAACTCGGTCATATTGGTAGGAAGTCTTAGAGGAACACACCTTGTCCGGAAACAATTGTATGCATCATCATTTCCAGAATAGAACCATGCACGTGGTACATTTCCAGACGTTTCGCCGGCATCGTTTGGAAATGTACCACGTGCACGGTTCTATTCTGGAAATGATGATGCATACAATTGTCTCCGGACAAGGTGCGTTCCTCTAAGACTTCCTACCAATATGACCGAGTTGCGAAAACAAGCTCAAACAACTTATATTAATTATTTGTCTCTTATCAGCTTCAACGAAATAGGGTAAACACATTTTATATGTCTGAAGTACTGGTAGTCTCGAAACCTTAATTACAAGCGAAAAATAAGTAATGTAGTTGATTATTATAGCAACTATCAATTGATGCTGGAGTACCTTTCATTTCGTTTAAAGAGAAGAGCGGAAAAGCTTCGTAAGTTGATTTCACCGGAAGCTGTAGGGGGATTTATTTGTAGCTATGATTGTGGATTTGTGCGAAAAGGTCCCAAAGCAATCATAGCAATTCAGCTTAGTGGTTAACGGGTCGAGATTTCACACTGCACTGAGACGGTCTGAGTCCCGCTGGGGGTGTTGATACGAGGGCGAAACTGCAGTCCACTCCGGCCGAGATGAGAACACCATTTGGGAAAGTAAGGCTCTGTGAACTTCAATGGAAAACGTTAGCTCTACACACATTATTGTGATAAAATCCAACTGCCAATCCTTCATTACCTGAAACGAAGTAGGAAGAACACAGCTCATAGTCTAGCATTTCTTTGAATATCTGACCTCAGTTACGGGTCATTGAAGCATTCAGTTGGTGCGAACAGTTCATCTCGCTGGAAGCATAGCGAAAACTGCTTTCGAGTTATGACTGTTACTTTCAGTTCACAAATCCTCGGGATCACAGGACAGCTTAATGAGGATATTTTCGCTCAACTCAACGATCACAACTCGAGGGCAGTCTTGTTCGGTGTGTGGTGAGGCTTACTTTTCGCATGAACTAAACGCTTCAATGGCATGCAATCAAGATTGCATTGTCCAGGAGCCTGGCTAATCGCTTCGCAGAATCCGACAATCTTTACTCGAGGACATTCCTCCTCCGGTCTTCAGTGCCAACAATTCACGAATTGCTTCGAAATGCAAAGTATCGTCGTTGGGGGACTTTCATTTGGCATGAAAGTGCGCGAAGAAGAGATTCGTAGGTCGATCTCACCAGAAGAGGACGAATGTATCAGACTGACCTGCGCTTTCGCAAGGAATGAAAGTCCTCCCAACAATGTTATGCCATTGAAACCCAGTTACTCTTCGTATCTGCAAAGTATCGTCACACTGGCTTTCTGGCCTGTAAGGTCATCGGTCCAATTCTGCCGGTCGTGCTGGAAAGCTTATTTTGTATTGCAGTCATAATTTTTGTCAACGAAATCCGCCCACTTGACTGTCCAGACAATGACGATGAGGCTGGGAATGGGGATTAGAATGAGATGGAGATGGGATGGGGATGAGAATAAGGATGCAGATAGGAGCAGACGTATCTCCTCTTCGTTAGACCGACTTGGAGATAACTACATTGAGCCCTTCTGCTTCGTTACTCCCACAAGTCTCCGTCGCCCTCGATTCGGCCGAGCAAGGTTGACAAGTCTGTTCACTTCGGCCAGAAACAGCTCCTCTTCTTCAGTTGCCAAGGGGTGTGAGCATCCAATCTGTGATACCAAGCTCTGCTGACCCGCCGGATCACCTGACATACCGACAAGATCTGATGCGCCCTCAGGCCGGATTAGATAGACTGGGTCAGGCAGAGGAGGAGAGACGAGAGGGTAGACGAGATGGGCGAAACGAAGGTTGGGCAATGCAGTTGGTTGGCTGAAAAAAGTAAAACGGAAATGTCGTTTGGCTATACCGAATTTTATATGAGTTGTATTCATCATATTTCGTTTAGGGTGATGAAGCAGTGCTAGCTGAATTTTCCCACAACGATATGAGTAGAGCTGACGTTTCCATTGAATTTTACATACAGTTCTTAAATCAGAGTTGTCCACGCTTTAATATTAGGTCCTGATCCTCAAGACCTAATGGCCAAAGAGAAC